AAAAAAAATAGTTTTTATTGATTTTGTAAATCTACTAGAATCTAGGGTTATTGGTTGATGAATTTCTTATAATTTTACTCATTAAACAAGATTTTAAGAATACCTTGGAAAATCATTAGATTCTTAAAATGGTTGATTAAAATACTTTACTAAAACAACCTTACAAAGTTAATTTTTGACCAAAATAATGCTATTATTTGAAAATTACTCAAACAATTTTGAAAAACTATTATTATCCGTTTTAACCTTATTTCTTTTGAAGAGAAAAAAACGTATTTACGAAAATATCATTAATGAGGTAGCGAATAAGTATACCGTTCATGTGATGGTAGATTTATTTGCGATTGGTAGATTTATTAAGTGGTTAGTAGACTTATTGATGGTTCGCGCAATGGTAGACTTATTTATAGTAATGGTAGATTTATAACATGTGGTAGACGTTTCTCGTAGTGGTAGAGTTAATTTTGTGATCGGTAGACTTATTTCTAGTGGGGGTAGAGTTAATTTTGCTATCGGTAGATTTATTGATGGTTCGCGCAGTCGTAGATTTATTTATAGTAGTAGTAGATTTATTTTGAGTGATAGACTTATTAGTAGTTGTGGTAGAGTTACCTTGTGATCGGTAGACTTATTGATGGTTCGCACAATCGTAAACTTATTTATACTACTGGTAGAGTTATAATATGTGGTAGACTTATTTATAGTAGTGGTAGATTTATTCAATAAAAAGTAAAATCGTAATTTACCTTTCATCTTCTCCACAAAGCACCAAATTTTTCTCAAACTCTAATAATACCGACCAACCATTTTTAGTTCGTTTTTACTGTATTTTAACTCGTTTTCAACTAGATTTTGCTTAAAACTAGTATATATAACATTAAATATTTTTTCTAACAAAAAAAAATCAAAAGGTTTTGAGTTTTTTTCCAACTTTTGATTTTTAATCTGATTTTTATTAAAATTACAGCCTCCACACCTCCGCCGAGCACGATCTGGTGCTTCCGCAGCCTCCGTGGCCGCAATTTCAAACAAATGTTTTTTTTTTACAAATTATGAATAGTATTTTTGTAATAAAAACTTGTTATTAAGATTTATTTGTCTTTTATAACTTGTGTTGAGTTTGAAGGTTGAATAAAAATTGTTCTAGTAATTAACCTATTTTCCAAAGTTATTTTAGTAATTATCTCTTCTTAAACTTCTTATAACCAAACTTTTTAAATACAAACAACTCTCTACAAATTTAATAGAATCTATTGATTTTAGA